ATGGAAGATCTCATGCATGCAAGGCAAGAACTAAATCAGAGCATTATCTCCAGTCCTGAAGATAATCCAAAATTGTTGGAAACTGTTTACTTCCACAGATCATTTTTTATTTGGGTTTTTGTTTTTAATTTAAGGTTTGTGGGTTGGTTGGTTGGTTTTTTTTTTTTTTTTTTTTTTTTTAGATGTGTCTCATCACGTAGACCTGGCTGTCCAGGAGTTTACTACTACGTAGGTCAGGCTGACCGTGGACTCAAGAGACCTGTCTGCCTCTGCCTCCCAAGTTCTGGGGTTAAAAGTAAATTCTGGATTATAAGCCTGTGACACCACACCCAACCATGTTTAGCTTTTTTAGATCTTTATATATTCTACACACTAAACCTCTTGAATGAATAGCTAGCTGGCAAAGGTTTCCTCCCATTCTGTAGGCCATCTGTTTACCCTTCAGTTTCTTTAGTTTGATGAGATCTCATTTGTCAGTTGCTGGTTATATTTCCTGTGAGATAGGAGTCTTATTCAATGCGTATAAAGCACGTGCTCTGTTTTTCCCTCGCACTTTCCGACTATCCGGTTGTATGCTGAGGTTTTTGATCCATTTGGAGTTGAGTTTTGTGTATGGTGAGAGAGAAGGATCTAGTTTCATTTCTGTCTTTGCCACTTTGCCTGGCATCATTTTTAAGATGCTTTTTTCTGATGTATATTTTTGGTATCTTTGTAAAAATTCAGGTTAACTGTAGCTGGATCCTCGACTCTGTGTTTTTGTGCCAGCATCATGCTTTTTTATTAATACTGCTCTATGGAATTTGAAATCAGATGTGATACCTTCTGCACTGTTCTTTTCATTCAGGATTGTTTTGGCTATCTCTGGTTTGTTCCTCCATATAAATTTTTGAACCTTTAAGTAGAGTGGTCATTTTTCTGATCCATGAGTATGGGGGTGTATTTTTATCTTCTAGTCTATTTCTTAATTTATTTCTTTTGTGTCTGAAAACTTTCATTATAAAGGTTTTCAATTTCCTTGGTTAATTTATGCCCAGGTTGTGTGTGTCACTTTGCTGAACATAGTTATCAACTCAAAGAATTTGATAGATTCTTTAGAACCTCTTATGTATAACATATCATCTGCAAAAGGAGATACCCCTTCTTATCCTAGTGGTATCCCTTCTCTTTATTATTCTAAGTCTTCAACCACTGTATGGAATAGAAGTGGAAGGAAGATGGTAGGTAGTACTCTTGTTCCTGATGCTTTGAGTTTTTCTCTATTTAGTATGATGTTGGCTGTAAATATGTTATATATAGTCTTTATTATATTGAGGTATGCTCCTACCTTGTCTTATCTAGCCTTTTCATGACTCTGATCTCAAAAGGATGTTGAGTATTGTCAAAGGCTTTTTCTATGTTTATCATGTGACTTCTGGTTTTTTGTTTGTTTTTGGTCCTCTTGCAATATGAATTACATTTATTGATTTGGGTATGCTGCATCATCCTTGCATGACTGGAATAGCAAAAATAGTTATGATAAATGCTTTTCAGTATGATGCTGAATTCAGTTGAATTCAATTTTATTGAGGATTTTGTATGTACATTCATTAGGGAGAACAGTCTAATTTTTTTAAAGATTTATTATGTATAGTATTCTGGCTGCGTGTATGCCTATATGCCAGAAGAAGGCACCAGATCTCATTAAAGATGGTTGTAAGCCACCATGTGGTTGTTGGGAATTAAACTCAGAACCGTGGAAGAGCAGGCAGTGCTCTTAACCTCTAAGCCATCTCTTCAGCCCAAGAACAGTCTAATTTTTGTGTGTGTCTATTATATTTACCTGATTTTAATGTCACCATAATACTGGATTCACAAAAGTTTGGAAGATGCCGGGCATGATGGCATAATCTCAGCATTCAGAAGGCAGAGGCAGGCAGATCTCTGTTGAGTTCAGGGCTACATAAAGAGATCCTATCTCAAAAAAGGGGGTGGGGAAGAAGAAAGAAAAAAGGAGTATAGGCTCTTAGGGTATATCCCCATGATTTTCTGGATTTCATTGGTATCTGTTCTAATACCTTCTTTTTCATCTTTTCAGGTATATTAGTTTGGATCTTCTCTTTGTTAGTTTTTAAAAGATTTTGTCAATTTTATTTATCTTTTCAAAGAATCCCCCTCTTCATTTCATTGGTTTCTTGTATTTTTTTAAATTGTTTGTTTTATTGATTTCTGTTCTGCCTTTTATTATTTCTTCCCCTCTATTCTTGGGGTTCTAAGGCTTTAAAGCCTATCAGTTAACTTAAGAGTTCTCAGCATTTTGACGCCGACATTTACCACTGTGAACTCTCACCCTAGGAACTCTTTTTGTGTCTCTAGATTTTGATAACTTGTGTCTACATTTTCACTCTGAAGAAATTTTAATTTCCTTCTTGATTTCATCAGTGATCCATTATCATTCAATAGTATATTATTTAGTTTCTATGAGAATTTATACTTTCCATTGCTGTTGATACCTAGCTTTATCCCATTTCAGTCAGATAAAATACAGGATGTTATTTCAGTTTTCACACACTTGTTGAGATTTGCTTTGTGCCCCAATATGTGATCAGTTTGGGGGAAATGTTCTGTGAACCTCCGTTACATCCATTCACTGCATTTATGATGGCACTTAACTCAGGTTTCTCTGTTTACTTTTTGTCCAAATGACCTGTCTGCTGGTAAGAGTGAGGTATTGAAGTCACCCACTGTCACTGTATTAGGATTACTGTGGCTTTACATCTAGTTGTATGTAGGCACATATACGCGCATAAATATGTGTGTGTATACGTACATATATGCAGAGACATATAGAGACATAGACGGGGGACAGAATTTATAATGTTCTCTTTTTTGAGACAGAGTCTCTCTGTGTAGACCAAGTTAGCCTCCAACTCATACAGAACTGCTTGCCTCTGCCTCCTGAGTACTTGGATTTAAGGGGTGTGCCACTCTTCCCAGCTATAGTGTCCTCATGATGGACTGTTCTATTGACCAATATGAAGAGCTCTTCCTTGCTACGGAGAAACCCTGTCTCAAAAAAAAAAAAAAAAAAGAAAAGAAAAAAGAAAAGAAGAGCTCTTCCTATCTATTTTTGGTTTGATGTCTATTTTGTCAGATATTAGGATAGCTATGCCTACTTGTTTCTTAGTTTCGTTTGCTTGGAACACCTTTTCCCACCCATTTACACTAAGGTGGTGGTGTCTGTCTTTGGTGGTAAGATATATTTGTTGGAGGCAACATAAAAATGAATCCTGTCTTCTAATCCAGTTTACTAATCCAATCTATGTCTTTTTATTGAAGAATTAAGACTACTAATATTCAGCTATTATTGAAAGTATATTGACTTCTGTCATTCTCTTGATTTTAGTGTTTGTTTTTACTCTTGTGATTATTTAGACCTATGGCACTTTTGTCATTTTTATACTTCTCTTGATACCAAGATATTCTATTATCTCTGTAGAGCTGCCTTAGTGGCCATAAACTTCTTTAGACTGTTTTTCACATGGAAAGTTTTTTATATCACCTTTAATTTTAATAGTTTTGCTGACAAAATAGTCTGGTTTTACGGTTGTGTTCTTTTAGAACTGTATTTCAGAATTTTTTTTTAGGCCCTTCTGGCTTTAAAATGTCAACAAAATAATCGTGTTATTCTGATGATCCTGCCTTTGTAGGTGATGTGATCTTGCCTTTGCAGCTTCCAATACCCTTTCTTTCGTCTGTGTTTTTGTGTTCTAACTAAAATATGTTGTTTGGAGCTTGTTTTCTTATCCTACCTATTTGATATTCTGTAGGTTTCTTGTATCTCTTGGCATCTTTCTCTAGATTAGAGAAATTCTATTTTATTGAAAATATTTTCTGTATGGAGCTGGAGATTTGGCTTAGACCTTAAGGGCACTGGCTTCCTTTCTAGTTGACCAGAATTTTATCTCCAGTATCCACATCGGTGACTCAAACTCTCTGTAACTCCAGTTCCAGATCCAGTGCCCTGTTCTGGGTTCTATGGTACACGATACACGGATATACAGGGAAAATACCCACACACATAAAATAATGAATTTGTAAAGAAAAAATCTTTTTATGCTTTTGGCGTGGTATTTTGTTCATAATTCAGATTTGGTGTTTTCATGGTGTTCCAAAGCTTTCACATGTTCTGTCTGCCTTTTGGAAAGTTCCTCGTTGATCTTAACTGTTTGATCCAATCCTGTATCTTCCAGCCCTCATGCTCTGCTTCCTACAGGTCCATTCTGTTGGTCAAGATTTCCATGGGGCTTTAATTTGGCTTTTTAAGTTTGCCATTTCCAGCATCCTTGGCCTAGTTTTTCTTCAGCAGTTCCTTTTATTGGAGTTAGTATTCATTCCTTAGAATGACTGAAATTATTCCATTTAGCTCTTTGTTTTAAAGTTCTCTTGAAGTATTCTTTTATTTATTTATTTATTTAAGATTTCTGTCTCTTCCCCACCGCCGCCTCCCCTTTCCCTTCTCCTCCCCCAATCAAGTCCCCCTCCCTCGTCAGCCCAAAAAGCAATCAGGATTCTCTGCCCTGTGGGAAGTCCAAGGACCACCCACCTCCATCCAGGTCTAGTAAGGTGAGCATCCACGAAACTGCCTAAGCTCCCACGAAACCAATAGGTCCAGTAGAATCAAAAACCCGTTGCCATTGTTCTTGAGGTCTCAGTAGTCCTCCTTGTCCGCTATGTTCAGCGAGACGGGTTTTGACCCAGGCTTTTTCAGACCCAGGCCAGCTGGCCTTGGTGAGTTCCCGATAGAACATCCCCATTATCTCAGTGTATGGGTGCACCCCTCGCGGTCCTGAGTTCCTTGCTTGTGCTCTCTCTCCTTCTTGAAGTATTCTTTAAGCTGTTTGAACATAGCTACAATTATTCTTTAAAATTCTTTTGTCTAGAAGTTCAAACAAATTGTTCCCATTAGGAGCCAGTATGGAATTAGTAATCTTTAAGGAAGACATATTATCTTGGCTTTTTCATGTTGTTTTTGCTCCTGTGCTAGGACTTGCCCACTTGGAATTAATATGTTGGTTAAATTTTTCTTTCTTTTGTATTTTTGTTGTTTTTATATTCATATCCCCTATATTCTTCAGTGATGGAATTTACACTGTTTATGAGAGAACTAAGTTATAGTAAAGCTGAGATATCATTTCCTTTGTGGGGTTGGTATTTAGAGCTAGAGGCTTTATCTGAAATCTTCCTATTTGGATCAGGTGTTGTCCTGTGTCAACTGGTACCTCCTGTCTGGGTCTTCAGCTTTTGCTTTGAGTTCTGGAACTCCCCAGGTTCTAGTTGGCCTTACTCCAGATCAGCACCTACCCAGGGTCTGCATCTTGACTGAAGCTATTGTAAGAGGCAGGACTTCCAGAGAACCTGCGGGGCTAAACTGGAGTGAGATCTAGTCTCTTAACCTGAGTTTGAAGCTTCTGAGGCTGCTGGAAATCTCACAAGCATCAATGAGCTTTGTCAACCCTGATTCATGACTGGTTTCTTCCTAGTTTTTAACAGTCCCAATTCTGTTCCAAAGTCCAAGGTCTTTTCTGAGACTCAAGGTACTCTATGAACCTCTATGACCAAAGGACAGGTTATGTACTTCCAATACATAATGATACAGTGTAAGCATTCCCATTTCACACAGGAGTGGGAAGATAGGACGAAAATAGCATTCCAAAGCAAAACCATTTGTGTCTCTATCTGGCATGTGGATGTCTAGGTGGCATCACCTGGGCTCCTTGGGCAATCCTACCTCTCCAGCTCTGCTACCTGCAGCACATGTAGACATATTTTTGGGCCAACTCCATTCCATGCTTGGCTTCCAATATGAATTCTACCATTTAATCCTGTGATCTTGGTGAAGTGACTTAACTGCTTGGTGCCTCATCTTCACCTGTGATGAAAATGACCCTACCTTCTCAAACTGTTACAAGGAAGGAACTAGTACATGGCAAACCCTCAGCACAGTCTTCTTGTCGTCTCACTTGGCACACTGTGACAAAATTGCATGCCGTCCTGGTTTAGCAGTCCAATACATTCTCAGTATGGCCTGCCTCCTACTTCATACCTACCCCTTTCCTTGATATCCTGGGCCAGGACTGAAGTGGCACTTGGCTAGTACCCAGTCACTTACGTGGCTCATACATCACCCTATCCAACAGCCTCTTGCCTGAATACTATAACAATCCTGAACTTAAAAAAAAAAAGTGAGCATTAGTGGAGTTCAAAACTCATCTTCTTACTACTGTCAAAGGATGACCTAAACTGGGCAGTGGTGGTGCACACCTTTAATCCCAGCCTCGGGGGAGGGCAGAAGCAAGGGAACTCTGTGAGATCGAGGCCAGGATGTTCTAGGACAACTAGGACTTTTAGGGTTTTTTTTTTTTTTTTTTTGAGAAACCCTGTCTTAAAAAAAAAAAAAAAAAAAAAAAAAAAACCTGTCCCTTGTTCCTCACTTCCATCAAACATCAGGTTTCAGGTCACATACCCAAATTTTCTCCAAGTAGTGTGGAACATAGTTCGGGGGTTACAGTATTTTACCTGGTTCTATGGAATTCCTAAGGATAAAAAGCCTAAATTGGTAGACTTCATTCCTCAAATCCTAAGGCAGCCTCTGTCCATGTAGGCAGGGCTATCTTTGACACCTCTGAATTGGGGGAAGACAGCATGCATGTTTCTTCTTAGTAGTGGTTGTAACATGATTAATAAAAACCCAGAGACAGATATTGGGGTTCAACCTGAAGATTAGAAAAGCAAAACAGCCAACCACTGGCTCTTTGCTCTACCTCAGTCCGAAATGGAGATCCTGCCTCCAGGAATCCTCAGAATAAGACTTTCCTAAGCAGCTAAAACACAACGAATCGTTCCTGCATACATCCCATTCCCACTCTCAGAGCAAAACAGTAGTAAGTCCATTTATTATAAAAATAAATGATTAGGAAATAAAGGTGCTTGTGGAAATACAAGTGCTATTGCAAGGCGATGGTACTGGGTGCATCTCTGTGACTGTTGTGTCTGGGAAGGCTCTGGTGTCCTGGCAGCTAGTGCAGCAGACCAGTCTGGGAGTGAGGCACCCTTACTGTACAGCATGACGGAGTTCCCACCCTGGAGAGGACCCCCTGCTGCACACCCTCTTCCAACAAGCAACACAACTCATGATGCAAGCAGGCTTCGGGATACTCCCACACCAGATAGTTTGCAGCTCTGAATTGACAGTTGGGGTCCAAATTCCATAGGAGAGACATTGATGTGCATGCGATGCCCCTGACCCCATCTCTTCTGCTCTGCCAACAGTTCACTCTGACCCTGTCTGAACCATGGCCAAACAAAACAAAAATGGCCTACCAGTGCCCCTGCCCATGTGTGGACCCTAGATCCCATTAGAATGCAGCATACAAGTTGAGGGCTGAGTCTGAGGACACCTACCCAGACTCTTAGAGCAGCTATGCTGGTCAGGGGGCACAGTGGGCATGGCGGCTCTGGCTCATTGGCAGCACTCCCACAGGTGCCTGAAGAACGCCTCGCCTTGCTCATCACTGAAGCACTGCAGGCAGTGAGGACACTGAAGGTCGCCCTGACCTCTGTGGGCTGTGCAGACATGCCCACCCTCTGCAGGCAGTTCCAGCTGTTGGGACCCAGGCCCAGGCCTCCAGCCACCAGCTGCCACACACTCCAGTGCATCCATCTCTAAGTACTTGGCAGTTTTGTTCCCCGTATGAATCCGACAGGGTCCTGGCTCCCGGGAGTCCTGCTGAGAAGTCAGAGGCAGTTTACTACAGGCTATGCTAGAAGGCACAAAGCCTGACACTAGGGTCTCACAACTGGAGACACACTATATCTCAGAGTAGAACTGAAATCCCATTGCTTTGTTTCTTGCTATACCACAATGCCTCGCTTCCATCAGACCTCAGGTCTCGGTCCACATACCACAAGAGTTTCTCCAAGTAGTATGGAACAAAGGTCAGGAATCAAGGTATTTTACTTGGCTCTCTGGAGTTTCTAAAAGCTTAAATTGGAGACCTCATTCCTCAAATCTTAATGCTTCTTAATGTCTAGACAAAGGTACTGAATGAACAACTGAAGAGCTCCTACAGGTGCTTAGTCATTTCATGTGAGGGGAAGTGAGGTTTCCTCCCCTTCTATGAAGTGGAGAGCCTGGCTGGAGCCCGCAGCCTCAGGATATTCCCTGAAGGAAGTGACCGGGATGCCATGCCCCATACCACCAGAGTGAGAGAGACAAAGCTGGGGGTGCTGTAGGTGGCAGGACATAGCCAGGGAACAGGCAGACTTAAGTCCCACATACCTCAATATAATTTGAAGTGCTAGACACTCAGAAACCTACCGTGGTAGCCTTGAGTGCACCCTTGGCATGGCCTGGCACATGTGTTCTACACAAATGCCACAAAGCACTATGGGCAGTAGTACCCATTGCTTCTTGTATGGGAGTCTTAATCAATGCTTTTACTTTACATTTGCGTTTGGATTTTTCTCAGGACGCATACATCAGCACCACTGTCATGTGGTTGTTCCCTTGGGTAGAGCAACAGTAGGAGCTTGAGGGGCCACAACTAATACAAAGGCCCTGGTTCCCACCAGAAATCTAGCCTTTGGGGCTGATCAGGAACCCCTCGGAGAGCCTGGCTTGGCGGGCATAGAACTGGTATGGTCATTCCTCTGGCACGTCCCTGAAAGGCTGCCTGAGAGGCCATCAATGACTATATCCCCTTCCTGCCCATGGCTTACAGCTGCCTATGGCACACCACCTGAACAAGCCTGATCTAGAACGGGATGGGGAAACACCCACGCTCCACCATGTGACATCAAAAGGACACCAGGGCTCTGGGGAGCGTCCTCTATGCTGTGGTCCTCTGGCACACCCTGTTGGCCTGTGGACTTAGGAGGGACATAGGCTTCCAGCAAAATCCCTCCATTCATTAGAACTGGTGCTTGCATCAGCCCCCTGATGTGAATTTAGCTCAAGGGAACTGCAGAAAGGTATCTACCAGGACCCTGTGCCCTGGTGCAAAGGAATGGAGGCATGATGAGGTCTGGCAGCTGCTCAGAGCAGAACAGTGCGGGTGGCTTTCACAGATCCCCAGTTCCTCTTACATCTTTTTTTTTTTTTTTTTTTTTTTTTTTTTTTTTTTTTTTTTTTTTTGTTTTTTTTTTTTTTTTTTTTTTTTTTTTGTTTTTCGAGACAGGGTTTCTCTGTGGCTTTGGAGCCTGTCCTGGAACTAGCTCTGTAGACCAGGCTGGTCTCGAACTCACAGAGATCCGCCTGCCTCTGCCTCCCGAGTGCTGGGATTAAAGGCGTGCGCTACCATCGCCCGGCATCCTCTTACATCTTATTGGGAAGGAGAGTTTCAAAATCAGTCTGCCTTCTCGGCCTACTGATTTCCAGAGACGCCTCTCTTATTCAAGCTATGTCAGGACAGGAAGTTCTCTGAGGGAAGCCCAGTGTTTATCCCAGGATAGAAGAGGTATGGACACTAAGTGGCCAAAGTAACAAACCTTCCCTGGGAATTTGCAGAACATGAGTCTATCTGGGCACAGCTTCCATGCTGGAGAGACTTCCATTGACAACATACACCAGCACTAAAAACAGGTGGCGACAGGCCCACTGGCTGTCCTGGAGGACCTACCTCATTTAGTGCTGGGGGTCCATGTCACACCTCTGCAACATCGTAACTAGGGTCTCTACCTCAAAGAGGACATACACTTAACAGAACTGCCCATAAAGCACCTGGGGCCTGGGATATACTTACGTCTCATGGCAACAATAAGCAGGGAGACAGGAAGGGCTCCGGAGACAAGGAGCCTTTATCAACACAGGCCACCATGCCAACATCCACAGCTAAATAAAGTATCGCAGAGGGGTTTTCTATGGTCACACCGTAGGCCCAGGACAGGTTACTCTGCCCAGAGCTGGGAAGGGCCCATCACTAACAGTAATACATCTCTGAAGACAGAGGTTCAAAATTCATAATAAAATACTAATTCTAATGGGGGAGAAATTCTCTTGTGCTCTTACCTGTCTCTGGGATGCTTGCGACATCAAAGACATAACCTTTTCTTCCAGTTCTTGAATCCTACTATGAGCTCGTTCCCGATCTGCCCTTTCTGATTTGAAGTCATCCTTGTAAGCAAGAATCTGAGAAAAGACAGAATGCTCATTCCTGGCTTCTCCCGCTACTCCATGACTGTATCCCACCCAGTGCCACCAAGCCTTTAGCCAAGGCTGTCCCAAGACTATGACCACTGCCTGAGGTGTCAGTCCTGCCCAGAGCCCGAGGACACCTGCTGCTCTAGCATCTGCACTCGCTCCAGCGCCGTGTCCCGGGCCATCTTCACAGTTGCCAGCTCCTGTTTGGCTTCTGCACAGTCATTTATTTTCTCCTCCAGCTGTCTGTTAAGCCTGGAAATCTCCTTCTTCAACAGCTCAGGCTCAGGAGGGACCTGCCGCCTCTTTAGCTGTGCGTGTAACCCTTTCACATACTCGTCCCTACTGGCGTCATAACGCTGCCACTTGGCATTGAGGTCTTCGACCTGAGAAGATAGAACCAGAAGACATGTTTGCTCAGGCCAGCATGGAACTGTGATTATCAGCAGTAATTTACGAAACTACTTCCCTTTCCCTTTCCCTTGGGTAGCGAGAATTCTAAGCCTACCAGGGAATCCTGATACATTATAGTAGCGTCCATATTAAGGGTCTTAAACAGATGTGAACTCAGTGTAATTTTCCTGCCTTAAGAACTACTTCCCAGAAGAAGAGTAAGAAAAGAAAACCCAAAACTCCTAGGGGCAGGGGCTCAGTCAAGTACCTGCTGAGCAAGCATGAAGACCCCGATTTCAGATGGCCAGCATCCATGTAAAAGCTGTAAACCCATGCATGTGTCTGTAATCTCAGTGCTGGGCTAGTGCACACGTACTCAAAACTACTTCTGGATGGTAATTCTTTTTATTTATTTATTTATTATGTATACAATATTCTGTCTGTGTATATGCCTGCAGGCCAGAAGAAGGCACCAGACCTCATTACAGATGGTTGTGAACCACCATGTGGTTGCCGGGAATTGAACTCAGGACCATTGGAAGGGCAGGCAATGCTCTTAACCTCTGAGCCATCTCTCCAACCCCCTGGATAGTAATTCTTACAGTTCTTTCATTGATTATTTAATCTGGAAGGACAAGAGGAAGTTGAGATCTATCCTCTGTGGCAGAAAGATCAGGTCCCTGGAGATCATGTGTATCAAGTTAAAACAGCCGGGGGGCAGAAGCCACCTCCACGCACCAGCTAAAGAAAAAGCTTCATTTGCCTTTTTTCAGGGTTAATGTTCCTCTCCAGTGGGATGGCAGACACTCACATGAGTCACCTTCTGCTTTAACAGTCGATTTTCTTCCTGTAACTTCTCAATAACGCTCTTGCCAGAAGCATTCCTGCTTGTATGCCCTAGCTACATAAGAGACAAAGAGAAGCCATGTCACTGTGTGTGTATCATGTATAGAAAAGCAGAAGTCAGAGGCTGAGGCCACAGCTGCAGCATAGGAGGGTGTGACTCTTCACTTGATGGAGAAGTAAAATAGACACAAAAACGGACTTGGAAGTCCTGGACCCACTCCCCGCTGAGGGAGGCCAGGAGACAGCAGAGTCTCTAGGCATGTCACTCTTGACACCGCCCTTGTTCCTTCCTACCTACCAACACGAGCTATTTGTGTTTTAAATATTCTGGACCTAAACATTCTGTTGTCGTCCAGTCTACAGCTGAGTACCCCAGCTGTAACAAAACTTCCTACTGCCAGAGCTTGCTTACCGTCACAGGCAATAGGGAGGACAGGGACAGAATTTTACTCTCTAAAAGAGACATACCTCTGCCAGCATCCAGGAGGCTTTCCAGGTCCCTGCCATGGGCCTGGCCACAGATCCATCTTGCCTCCTTCAGACTCATCAAGACAGAAATCCTGCCTCAAGACAAGTGAACTAATCTGGATGAAGCAACCTAACTTGTGCTTCACACAAGGCTGTTTACTCACAGAAGTCACACCCCAAACTAACCCCTAAGAGCTGCTGGCTGACCCAGCTGTAAAGTCTGATAAAACTTTTCTGGGGTATACTCTGTACCCCAGAAATTCCAGGCACCGAACAGTACAGAGGACTGTAAATCACTGACATTAGTTTTAAGAATTCCCCTTGAATGACAGGAAGTGTATGTCCTAACCCTGTCTGCTGGGAAGCCCCAGATGACTCAGCCAAGTCCAGGGCTGAGAAGTGATACTGACTTAAAAGACATGAGATGCCTGTCTGTCACAATCCAGCACCCACCTCAGGCTGATCACGGTGTGAGGCTACTTCAAGATCTTCAAAGGGAATAATACGGTGATACAAACTGAGACAAGAGACCCACCACCTCCTATCCAGCCATGAATACAGCTGTGTCCTCCCTGGGTGATCTTGTGAAATCCAATTGAGTTGGGTGCTTCATGACCAAGTTTGTTTCTCTCATGTTGGTTATTGTTCGTCCCCTTTCCTCAGAACTCACACAGTTCCGTGAACACTGCCATAGCCTCGGAGAACTGCCTAGAAAGGGATGTACCCAAGTGGCCCTGTGTGGGGCAATGCACATGAGATGGAGACTCAGTCTGCTCCACTGTTGTGTTCTGAATCGGAAACGTTCCCCAAGGCGCATGGTTTGAAAGCTTGGTCCCCAGTGGATGGCGCCATCTGCAGAGGCTACAAAACCTTTAGGAAGTGTAGCCTAGCAGTCAGAAGAAAGCACTAAGGACAGGCCTTTGAAGCTGATACCCTGCCCCTGGTTCCAGGGTCTCTCTGCCTCTCTGTCTGTCTCTTCCTGGCCTGTCATGATGTGAGGATCCTCTGCCATGAGTTCGTATTGCCATGAATTTGTCCGTGCCATCCCTGCCATGTTAGACTGAAACCCTCTCTGAAGTTGTTTCTGTTGGTGTCGTAGTCATAGGAACACAAAGGTCACAAATACACCCAGTGGTAACTGAGGCAAGGTGTGCCTTATGTACCTGTTTCTCTGTCAGCTCCACACTGGTCAGTACCACCTGGCAGCAGGAAATCAGGTACCTGGCCTACACTGAGGCTTGGTCCCATGCTATTCCTGATGAGGACCACTCTGGTTTGCGAGATGCGTCTCTTCCCCATGACTACCTTATGGGTGCTAAAACCTTGGTCATGCTCCTCTCTTCCCCCAAACCGTCCTGGCCTGGAGGCACAGAGGGTCCCTACTGCAACCTGGCCCCTCTGTCACCATTTGCTGTCCACCTCACATAGCGTCTACATGGAGGTCATGCTTTTGAGGCATGAAGATATTCTATGTCATGCGATAATGAAGACATTGCAGCCCTGAGGGTGGCAGGTCTCCTAGCTTATGCCAGGCCACATTGCTGGCAATAGAAGTTCTGGCTCTTCATAAGGCTTGTGGGTGGATCAACTCTTACCCCACAGATGCTTGGAGTCTGCAGAAGGCTGATGCTCACGGCTCTTCCAGTAGTTTTAGGCCAGGACTCTGCATATGTGGCAGGTGGAGGCATTGCTCCTCCTTAGCAGTACCGCCTAGATCTGCCTCAGTTTCTGTTTGTTGACTATACATGTGACAACACTTCCTGTAGGCAGCGCCTCTATCCCCAGCTCTTCCTTCCTATCCTCAGGGGCAGAAAAGACCAAAGTGCCATTGCCACGTGCATGCAGGATCAGCTGCAGACAATGCTTGAAGCTGGGGAGACAGGCCCCTCAAGTTTCCTGCCATGTCTTCCATTGGTTCTCTCCAGATAAGCTCTGAGAACAGAGTGGGTTCTATGACACCCCTGATCTTGGCGAGTGCACAGGACTAAAGACTGACAGACAACAACTCCTGCCACACCAGAGTCTTCAACTTGCTTTAGTTTGCTGCCTACCTCGTCAGCGCTTTTCTCCCCCACGTCCCCCTGCGCGTGCTGTCGTTCATCCAGACACTTGGCCAGATGCTGGCACATGTGGGCAGTGGCAGCCAACGTCCTGCGCAGTTGGTGGGTCTCATCAGCCAAGGAGCGGCACAGGATGTCGCTGGCGGCCCTGGCTTGTTCCTTCTCTGCCACACTTCTCCGAAGCAGGACGACTTCCTTCTCTCGCTCATGCTGAGGCTGGCTCATCAGCTGCTGCATCTCCCTCTCTTTTTCTTCTAGTTGCTCAGTAAGTCTCTCAACTTCCTGACAGAAAGTAATTTCAAAGCACAGTTTAGGTGGGTGTGGCGACACGCGCTTTTAATCCCAGCAGTGGGGTGGCTGAGGCAGGAGAATCAAGAATTTGAGGCTAGCCAGAGAGACCCTGTCTGAAACTGTAAAGGAAGACAGGCAGGTACAATAGTTGTGAAAATGCAAGCACAGAGTGAATAATGAAACAGTGTTAAAAAGCGGACGTTCAAAAGCAGGCAGGATAAAACACACCTCAGTCCTGGCACTTAGGAAGTAGGAGTACAAGAAGTTCTGGCCATCCTCAACTACATGACAACTTTGAGGACAGTCTGGGCTATGTGAGGGGAAGAAAGCAAATGTGCTAAAACAGGAAATCTGGCAAGGATAATGTATCACTAGGTACCACTTGCCCTTTGGGTAGGCTTTCCAGAAAAAATATAGTTAGCTGATGTGGACTATTACTTTAACTATGTAAAGATTGTCACAGTTGTTTAACCAGGCAAAGTTTATTACGTTTGTTTATGCTTCGTTTGTTTACACCTGTAAAGATGTAGTACTTGGGCTGCCTAAGGCACCTGGTAGGTCTAATAAAAAGGTGAACGGCCAATAGCTAGGCAGGAGAGACATAGACAGGACTGGAGGGCAGAGAGAATAAGTAGGAGGAGAAATCTAGGCTCGAGAGAGAATGAGGGAGAAAGAAAGGGAGATGCCAGGGGCCAGCCAGGCAGGCAGCTGCCAGCCAGCAAGACAGGGAGAAGGTCTTACAGAAAGAAGGGTAAAAAGCCCTGAGGCAAAACATAGATAATGAAAGAAACAGGTTAAATTATAAGAGCTAGTGGTAGCTGGGCAGTGGTGGTGCACGCCTTTAATCCCAGCACTCGGGAGGCAGAGGCAGGCGGATCTCTGTGAGTTCGAGGCCACCCTGGTCTACAAGAGCTCCATAGCTACAGAGAAACCCTGTCTCCGAAAAAGAAAAGAAAAAAAGCTAGTGGTGTAGGCATTCATAACTAATAATAAGTCCCCCGTATCATGATTTGGGAGCTGGTTGGTAACCAAAGAGAAAACCTGCTACAGTCAACTCTGGAGTTTCCATCTTCTCATATCTTCAAACTTCACTTAAATTAGTCTCATTAGGTGGCAGCACACACCCTTAATCCCAACACGTGGGGGGCAGAGGCAGGCGGATCTCTCTGAGTGTGAGGCCAGCCTGGTCTACTGAGTGAGTTCCAGATCAACTAGGGCTACACAGAGAAATTCTGTCCCAAACAAAAAAAATAATAATCAATAGAAATAGAGTATTTATAGCCAGACGGTGGTGGTGCACGCCTTTAATTCCAGCACTCAGAAGGCAGAGGCAGGTGCATTTCAAGTTTTACAGAGTAAGCTCCAGGACAGCTAAGGTTACACAGAGAAATCCTATCTCACAAAACCAAACAGAAAGAGAGAGAGAGAGAGAGAGAGAGAGAGAGAGAGAGAGAGAGAGAGAGAGAGAGAGAGAGATGCAGATATCATTAGCTCACATGCGCTCACACTGAGTTAGGAGCACTGTCCACTGAGACGACTTTTGGCAGATGCACTCAGAAGAGAAGGCCATGTGAAGACAGGCTGGAGTGCAGCACCTATGCGCCACAGAACCCTAAGGACTGGCAGCCACTACCAGAAGCAGAGGAGGGAAAGAAGGACCTGGCCCCAGGACCTTCAGGGAGCAGATGCCTTGATCTGCTGCTTCTAACCTCTAGGGCTCTGAAAAGATTGCATTGCTGTTGCGTCAACTTCACCATTTGTGGTACTTAGTTTAGGAAACTAATATTGCCGGGCAGCGGTGGCCTTTCATCCCAGCACTTGGGAGGCAGAGGCAGGTGGATCTCTGTGAGTTCAAGGTCAGCCTGGTTTACAGAGTGAGTTCCAGGACTACTTGAAGAAACTTTTTCTTGAAAAACAAAACAAACAAACAAACAAAAAGCTGGATATAAACGTTCATGTCTGTAAATCCTAGCACTTGGGGACCTGAGGCAGGAGAATTGCCAGGAGTTTTCCAGGCCAGCCTAAAATAACATTATTTTATTTTTTCACACATGGTCTCAGTCTGTTGCTCAGGCTAGCCTCAAACTCATGGCCTTGGTCTTCCAATGTACTGGGACTACAGGTCCTTAAGTGGCAATTTTGTTTAACTTTTTTTTGTTTAAGACTTTTTCTGGGGCGGAAGAGATGGCTCAGTGGTTAAGAGTGTTGAATGATCTTTTAGAGGACCCTGGTTCAGTTCCCAGCACCCATATGGCCCCTCACCATGGTCTGTAACTTCAGTTCCCAGGAATCTGACACCCTCTTCTGGCCTTTACAGACACCAGACATGCACAGACATCCATGCAGACAAAACACTCATACATATAAAGTATTAAAAAAGAAAACCAATTATCTCTAGGTTACTCAGGAGTTGAACCTGAGCCCAAGCTTGCACTCCTGGGTGCTGGGATTACTCGCACATAGCAAGTAGCGCAAAGCGCGAAGCCAAAAGGACCATCTTTAACTTTCTGGCCTTAAAGTTGTGCTTTCCCACTTTCAAAGATTCCTTGAACATAAACAGCTCATGATGCAGGGTGGAGCAGTCTCAACCAGTCCACTCTACAGATGAAGAAACAGATTCACAAGAGCCAGGGATAAGCCTAAGCCATTTCCAGCAGGAGTCCATCTTGTAACCCTGGGACCTTGTCACCGTGATAAATGAGACACCAACCATGTACAAAGACAGACTTGAGCGATTACTCTCGCCTTATAATTTTATTATTATTGTGCATGTGTGTGTGGTGTGTGAGTCTATACGGGTAGGAATCCGAGGACAACTTTCAGGAGCGGGTTCTTTCCCGCCACCCTGGGTTCCAGGGGTCAAACAGGTTGTCCAGGCTTGCACAGAAAGCACTCGTGCCCACTGGACCATCTCACCAGCCCCTGGATTTTTTAAATCAAAAAACATGTGTATTGCTTGGTAGTTTTTTGTCTGTTGATTGTTTTGAGACAAAGTCTTTCACTCTAGACCAGTGGTTCTCAACCTTCCTAATGCTGAGACCCTTTAGTACAGTTCCGCATGCTGTGTGTCATGGGAGACCCCATGGTGACCCCAACCATAAAATGATTTTCACTGTTACTTTATAACTATAATTTTGCCACTATTATGACTCGCAATGTAACTATTTTTGAAGATAGAAGTTTGCCAGAGTGGTTGCGACCCACGGGTTGAGAACCACTGTTCTATACAGTGTCGCAGAACAGGTAGAGAGAAACTGAAAGGAAAGGAGGCTAACGTGCCAGGAGCAGGCAGGGCCTGTGAGGCTAGCTTCCGGGATAACAGCGCACAGTCACAGGCCACATGGTGAATAGCACATTGACCTGGAAGAAGTTTGGAAAATCATCCATCCAGGCCTCAAGGTGCAGGTGGATACCATGAGGACAAGCTACGGCCTTCTCCAGACACACTGGCTACACATCCCCTCAGTATCCTCTATGGAAGCCCTCAGTGCCTTCCAGTCTAGTGTCCCTGGAGGGATGGCTGACGTGGCCATCAGTGACAGCAATCTAGCAGACTTTTCACTTTCTACTGCAGTTGTTTGTTTGTTTGTTTAGACCAGAGACTCTGTAGACCAGCCTGGCCTAGAACTCTTCTGCCTCTGCCTTTCCAGGGGATAGGAGGAGTCCACTGTAATGTCCAGCTGCTCTGTGGGTTTAAACCTGCCTTGTTACTTCAGTGAACAAAGGGCCTCTGGGGTGCGAGAGGTAATAAACCTCTGTCCTCCCACAGCTTGTGACTGAAACACCCTCCCTCACAGAACTGACTATGGGTAAGCAAAACACATCCACTTTCATGAACTGCTAAGTCACCGAAAGGGTCCTTGAGAATGAAAATGACAGGGGCTGGAGAGATGGCTCCGCAGTTGAGAGCCCACGCTGCTCTTACAGAAGACGAGGTCAGCTTGCGTGGCACAGCTCACACAGCCTATAACTCCAGCTCCAGAGAATCTGAACCCTATTCTGGACTTTGCCAGCGCTGACACTCCCATGACACACAGACCAAGACATTCATACATACCTTAAAAATAAAAATGTATCAGGCTAGAGAGATGGCCCAGCGGTTAAGAGCACTTGCTGCTCTTGTACAGGATCCAGGTTTAGTTCCCAGAACACACAAGCGATAGCTCACAACCATCTGTAACTCCAGCTCCTTGGGATCCGATGCCCTCACCTGGAGTCTATGGGCACCACGCAAGTATATTATACATGAAATGAAGTAAATCTTTTAAAGAAAAGATTAAAACCTTTTTTTAAAAATTAAAAATTACAGACACCTTCCTTCTACATTCCCTAGACCAACTTGGGGTCCTGACAAGGCCATTACCACATGTGGCCCGCTGACCTGGTACACCCCGAGACATTTCTGCTCCTGGCCCTCTTCCAATCACCTTCAACACACATGCTGCTCAGTCTCAGCTTCAGCTTTTGTTATCCATTGTGTGTCCACAGAAAAGTCATCAATGTCTTGCTCCCCTGTGTGTGTCTGTTTGTGTGCATCTGTGTGTGTCTATGTGTGTGTGTGTGTGTGCATCTGTGTGTGTGTCTATGTGTGTGTGTGCATCTGTGTGCGTGTGTGTGCATCTGTGTGTGTGTCTATGTGTGTGTGTGTGTCTGTGTGTGTGTATCTGAGACTGCCTTGCTATGTAGATCAGTCTGGTGGCAAACTCAGCTCCTCCTGCCACAGCATACTAAGTGCTGGGGTTAAATGGCTGTGCCACCAGCCACCCTAGCTCAGAGCCTAATATTCTTAGCTTCGTGGTTGCTTATGCCCTACACATCCCATTGGCATATTTGAACCATTCAAGGCGCAGTTTTTACATATGGACTATGGTCTAGGACACATCTGGAATCTTCAAAAGGTTTCATATATAATGGAAAGGGGGCCCAGGAAAACCAACTCTTGGACTGAGTGGAGAAATCCAAAATATCACAAGGAAAGAAATTCCTTTTTCATTGCATCTTAACCACTAAAGGTTTACACAGCTGTACAGTTTTCTGTGGTGTTAGCATTTTAGGAAGAGACCTTGTGGTATTTATCCTGCCTTTGACCTCCATTGGATTTTCTTCTTTTTTTAAGTTTTTATTTTATTTATTTATTTATTTTGGATACAGTCTTGCCATGTTGTACAAGCTAATCTCAAATTGTGGCCCTCCTGCCTCAGCCTCCTGAGTGGCTAGGACTATAGGCATACTGTGTATTGTGCTTCTCTTTGGAATTCTTCTGAATCAAGCCCAAAGCAACCATGATAGAAGCTGTATGTTGTTCAATGTTTCCAGTGCTGTGCACATTTGATCACCCGTGGTCTCCTGTCCCTTGTCATCTGCATGGGAGACTTTTTTCCACTTTGCTTTCTAGGAAGTATAAAGCATGCTCTCTTGGAACTCTGATTTGTATATACTCTTGTTAAATCAGTTCCCTATAATCACAATATATCTACCACATATGCATGGTTATATCAACCATTTCTTTAGTGAAAGACACACGTAACTCATCATTTGTTTCACTTTGCCATTTTTTTTTCTTCTTTAAGAATTGTGAGCCAGGCGGTGATGGCGCATGCCTTTAATCCCAGCACTTGGGAGGCAGAGGCAGGCAGATCTCTGTGAGTTTGAGGTCAGCCTGATCTACAGAGCAAGTTTCATGATAGCCAAGGCTGTTACACAGTGAAACCCTGTCTCAAAAAACCAAAACCCAAAAATAAAAAGAATTATGTTTATTTATTAATTAGTTAGTGTGTACACAAAAGCCTCTTTGCCTTAATATGAATGTGGAGACTATAAATAAACGAATAAGCAAATAAATTAATTAATTAAATAAAAAGTTGGGCATGGTGGCACATGTCTTTAATTCTAGCACCCCCACAGCAGAGGCAGGTGGATCTCTGTGGGTTTGGGGCAAGCCTGGACTCCACAGTGAGCTCTAGTCAGACCTACATAGTGAGACATTGTCTCAAAAAGCCAAAATAGAGTTCTAGGATAGCCAGAGGTACAACGAAACCCTGTCTTGAAAAACCAAACCCCTCAAAAAAGCCAAAATAAATGAGTAAATAAAGTCTAAAAGAAAAAAGGAAATAGGCTGGCCTCAAACTCACAGAGATCCACCTGCCTCTGCCTCCCAAGTGCTGGCATCAGAGGTGTGCGCCACCACCACCCAGAGCGGCGTTTTATTTGTATGTTATGCATCTGTATGTGAGTATGCATGTGTGCATTTGGGTAACTATGGAGTCCAGAAGAGGATGTTGAATCCCTTAGAGCTGGAGTTACAGGCTCTGGTGAGCCTCCTGACACTCTGGTGAGCCTCTTGACACTTGACAAGGAGCCAATCTTGGGTCCTCTGCAAGAGCAGTGTGTACTCTTAATCACTGAGCATCTTTCTAGACCCACATTGTTTTTGATTTACAGTTAAGGCCAGTTGTGGCTGCTTTCCTTTGTTACAGATGGAGAGCAAATGATTTAAAACATAACCATGCTGCATTCACTGGTAGAATTCAATGACAATGAGAAGTAAGAAAAAGATAATACAGAATTTAAAGTGCTACCGTATCTGCATTGCTTTGACAAGCACATGGCCTTCTTGACATTTGCCAAAGTTGTGTTCACACATATCTGTCATCACGGAATGTGTGACATTAGTTACTGTGGTGGCTTGAATGAGAAAGGCCCCCATAGGCTCATAGAGTTCAGTGCTTGGCCCCTCATTGGTGAAATTGTTCTGGGAAGAAATGTAAGGTGTGGCTTGTTGGAAAAGCTGTACCAGTCACTGGGAATGGGGGGGGGGGGTTCTTTATCCCCTTCACCAAGCCCAGTCTCTTTCTTTGTCACCTGCCTGTGGACCAGGTGTAAGCTCTCAGCACCATGCCTGCCTGCTGCCTCTCTCCCCACAATGGTCATGGACTCACCCTTGAAACTGTAAGCAAGTCCCCAATTCAATTCTTTCTTTTATCAGTTGCCTTGGTCATGGTATCAAGGTAGCAGAAAAGTAAGACAGTTACTAGTATGTAGCTATAGAATGTATTACATTAATAACTAATGTATTATATTAGTTACATTAGCCTCACCCTGTGTATACCTCTACAAACCAAATAACCAAAGAATACATCACAGAAAAACTATGCTGAAATGAAAATGAACAGGATTGTTCAGAATTTTTTGGAGGGTTTTGTTTTGTTTGGGGGGGTATTTTTTTGGTTTTTCAAGACAAGGATTTTCTGTGTAGCCCTGGCTGTCCTGGAACTCACTTTGTATACCAGGCTGGCCTTGAACTCACAGAGATTCACCTGCCTCTGCCTCCCAAGTGCTGGGATTAAAGGTGTGCGCCATCATGGCCCAGCTTGTTCAAAGTTATTTTTACGGGGTAATTTTGGATACATATGTCTACTGCTAATACATTAGTCAATTGGTTTTGGCAGACTTGAGAAGCCATGCAGTAGTTCTGTAATATTTAAAGTCACCACAATGTTAGCAAAATTTCCTAAATAAAATGGCAAGTAATTCTTAAAATCCCCGAACAGAACCTGTATGTCAGAGGACGTAGGACCACAGACTGGTTCTGTCTGGGGCCTCTAGAGAACTACAAATAAATCCCAGTTGCTTCATGTGGGGGCATCTGCACTGAACACCAATGGCCACCCGACTGCAAAGGCAGTTCTGTTCTGACTGTGGGGAGCTCCCTTACACTAACTGTTCCCACTGATATTCTGGTGACAAATTCTGGGGTGTCTTCAGATATCCACTCTGTACCCATCTGTGGCTCCTGATGGCCACAACAGTAAATTAGTGGCACAGTCCGGGTGAGCTCTACACTCCCTCTTGCTCTGTTTTACAACCCTCCTTCCAGAAAGCGGGAGAAGTGGGGTGGGGAGACGTCTGATTGCTCTTGGTACTTTAAATACAGACAGAAAACAAAGACAGCATAATATAAAGTAAATCTGTATAATAAGGATCAACTCAACAATACCAAGTATAAATAAATGTCTTCGCAAAGGAAGACCAGGCAAAGGTCTTGCAAAAAGCATATGGGATTATTTTATTGTTTCCTTTACTTTTCAGATACTCTGAATTTTACCATCAAAAACTGCGTTCTTTTCTCCCTCTAAAATCTTGTGGCCAGGCCTGGTGGCAAAGTCCTGGAATACCATCTACTCAGGAGACTGAGGCAGGAGGATCCAAAGTCAATCCCTAGCTGGGATTCACAGTGAGTTTAAGGTCAGTTTAGGTAACTTAGTGAGACCAGGTCTCAAAAGTAAAAAAGAGAGCTGGAGATGCAGCTAAACGGTAGAGTACTTGCCTAGATGTGTGTGGGGCTCCAGGCTCAGTCCCTAGCACCGAAGAGGGTGGGGACAAAAATAAATCTGGCTGTGGGGGTGAAATTGTGGAAACAAACATTACCTTTGGCCAGCTACTCTCCTTTCAGGATTACCTTCTTTCCTGGGAAACCAAGATAGCCATGGACCAAACGCAAAAGCATGCCAATTATCCCAAACATCGGGGAAGGGCACAGACTTACAGATAACACTTGCAGGGAAAACAATTCCCTTGCCCCAGTTTTGTGTGCTTACGTTATCTCACAGAAACCAAATCACATCAAACGACAAGGAGGACCAAAGAACGCACAGATTATCAGACGCTTGGCAGGCTCTTCCTGTCGCTTCTCCCAATATAATAAATACTAAAAGCCACCAATCAAAGACGTGGGTCCTCTCTCTGAGCTCCATCCCTTGAACCCTAGGCATCTCTCAGGTCCCTGGCACCCCACACAAGGTGCAGAAACCCACATTCCACAGAAGACCTCCCTAACACAGAATACCCAAAACCTGTACTCATAACCCAAACACACACTGGAACATTCCCCAAAAAGTAATGCCTGTATGCCCTTGAGAGCCTCTAGGCCCAGGCCTCACCTATGTCCTTGAGAGCCTCTAGTGTCCCTCAGGACCCTGCACCCACCCCTGAACACCAGCCCTCCTCAGAACTCCACCTCCTTCAAACCTGGTACCCTACTGTGGTGGTCTGAATAAGAATAACCCCACAGGCTCATGTGGCACCATTTGAGAAGGATTAGGACGTGTGGCTTTGTTGGAGGAACTGTGTCACTTAGGGTGGGCTTCCAGGTTTCAAAAGCCCACAGCAGGACCAGCGTCTCTCTCTGCCTGGGGATCAGAATGTAGCTCTCAGCTACAACTCCACAACCGTGCCTGCTTGCAAGCTGCCATACTCCTCACCATGATGATAATGGACTAACCCCTCTACAACTGTAAGCTCCCCCTCATTGAAATACTCTCTTTTATAAGAGTTGCCTTGGTCACGATGTCTCTTCAAAGCAACAGAACAGTGTGAAAACAGTTACATATCCCTTTGGGGTGTGGAGCACTGACTGGAGAAGCTCATCACCAACAGAACCATGTGTCCAAGACTACCTCAGTACCTCATGCTCCCACAGATCCCTGTACTCCGGGGTCCCTCCAGTTCCTCGGATCCACCACACAGACTTCATGAGCAAGTTTCACTCAGCTGTGCCCCTCAAAGTCGAGAGACCCGGGGGTCGGTCCCGAACTTACCCCCATTATATGTCTCTCAGAATTGCTCATAACCTGAGCCCCTGTGGACCTGGTAATTCTCAAATGTCCGCACCCCTAACACCCTGGTGCTCACAGAACCCCGTGCCCCAGAGACGCCTGCTCACCTCAGTGCGTGACATCCCTCGGGAGCCTGGACCCTCCAGACTCTCGCCCTTCAGACCCCAACCCCTCAAGGTTCCCTTGCGCCTCAGATCCCCGCACCAGATGCCTCACATCCTCGCGCCAGGACTCGGTGCCGCCCGAGGCCCCTGGGGCAGCAGCGCCCGCCCACACGCCCCGCACCTGGCGCAGCTGGGTCTCAGAGGCTCCTTCCTCCCGCCGCCGCAGCTGCTCACGGAAGCGCTCCACCTGATCCAGAAGCGCGTCCACGAGCGACGGCGCCGTGTCCCCTGACAGAGCCGCTAGGCGGGTGCGAAGGCTCGCGATCAGGGCGTCGCGCGCGGCCAGCTGATCCTGCAGGCGCTGCAGCTGCTGGCCGGCCTCGTGGTACAGGCTACAGAGCGCGGCGGCCGCGGGCGGGGTGCCGTCCCCAGATGACATGGCGGTGGACTTTCCTGGGGACCCGGGCACCAGCAACTTGTGAGCGTAGCGGGAGCCACAGCGGGCCTTCCCGGAACTTTTCCCGCCTCGCCCCGCCCACTCCCAGGAGTCTAATCCGCCCCCACCCACAGCTGGCTCCGCCCCGCCCCGCCCACTGCTGGGAGTCTGACTCCGCCCCTGCGCGCAGCTGGCACCGCCCCTCCCACTCTGAGGCCCTACCCTGTCTTGACGCACTAGCTCCGTGCGAGAGGCTGTCTGTCTGCCCACTGTTCTAGGCTCATCACGGCGGCCCTATTCCCGTCTGAGGAATTTTCTCGGAGTCAAAACCAGTCGGTGACCAGGGTTTAGGGTTCGGTTTCCTCTGGTACAGCTGCTGAAGGAGAGCAAAGAAATCTAATGACTTCAAACATCGGACGTGGAGTGTGGTCAGGTTTCAGTGCTGGGCTCCTTCCTCTTCAGGGACTTGGCATGTGTTTCGTCACGTAGGGACGCTGAGCTCAGAGAGGACTTCCCATCCAGGATGCATGGTGGGTCCCAGAGCCAGCCACCAGACCCCAGGGTGCGCCTAAATTCGAGTTAGGACGGCCTTATTGCTAGAAGCTGTTCTTAGAGCAGAAGACAGGAGGTGCTGGCCCCGTCCTTCCCGCAGCCTCCATACAAACTGTGTTTTCCCACTGGGAAATGTCTCCTCCCCCAAAGATCCGCAGGAAGGATCTTTCAAAGGCTCTTTGCTAAGGTCTCATTGGGGTTCCCTCATGTGAGGATGCATTTCTCCTTCTTTACGCATCATCCTGACTGTTCCCGCGGTGTGATCCACAGAAGCTCTGGCTGAGCCTGCGGAAACTCACCCACGTGCAGCATCAAACTCAGCAAAGTCAGACCTCGACAGGCATTTATGGGATGAACACTCGGCTCGGAAGACCCGGCTCACCTACGGTCAGCTCTTAGCCCTCAGAGCCAAGACTCCTGTTCAGAAAAGAGAGGTCCCAGCTGCTGCCTTCCCTACCTGATAGGGGTGTTGTGGCACTAGAGAATGGGTGTGTCTCAGTTTCTTTTCCATTGCTGTGACAAACTGCCACCACCAAGGCAGCTTATAAAGGAAAGCATTTAATGCCCATAATCGTCAGATGGTTAAAGCTGAGAGCTCACATCTTGATCCCCAAGCAGGAGGCAAAGAGCATGCTGAAACCTCAAAATCCCTCTGCTTCTAGTGTCCCACCTCTTCCAACAAGCCCACACGCCTCTGAATCCTTCCCAGATAGTCCCACCAACTGGGGAGCAAGTATTCAAACACGAGCCCGTGGGAGTCATTCTCTTTCAAACTGCCACAAGGCACGTGTTACATGACTGGCCAGCACAGTCAGTGTTAGCGTCATGCAGGGAGCATCTTGATACAGAGGCAGTGGTAGGATAAAGGAGAAGTGGGAAGGGGTACCACACCAAAGAACCCTGGCCCAGGGCTGATTTGTGCTCTTAAGTTCTTCACTGTTACTGCTGTGTACAGCCTGGGGTGGACCACTCAAGTGCTTTTGAACCTGATGTGAACGGCAGAATAGACGTCAAACAATCCAAACTCTTCCAACACACTTTGGGCCACATGGGTTTGGAGTTTGAAAGCTTTGATTTCTTTGATTTTAGGTAGGTACACATAACTGAGGTGACCAACCTCTACAAAGGGGTCCTCTTCCCAGTATCTATGCATATGGGGCAGGTTCCCAGACAATAAGCTGTACTTGACCTCCGTAACTGAGAGGACCCTGAGGAGGACCCTGGGGAAATGGTGGCCGGTGACCTCCACAGCAAAGTCGTGAGATACAATGTGTCTATTGACTTGCCCAGCTCTGCACTTCAGTGAAGGACCCAGTTTAGAACTAAATCCTCTGACCCCAGCGAAGGCTCCGAAAGACTACAGTCCCAGCTCATCTGTGGCTTCCATCTCAGAGAAGCCACTGTACCACATTTCCCAGGTACACTGCTCCAAGGCTCCTGACAAACTGCAAAGCAACAAACATAATATCGTTTCAAACTGCTAACACTTGGGAAGCTTCTTTTTTTTTTTTTAATTTTCAAGACAGGGTTTCTCCGTAGCTTTTTGGTTCCTGTCCTGGAACTAGCTCTTGTAGTCCAGGCTGGCCTCGAACTCACAGAGATCCGCCTGCCTCTGCCTCCCAAGTGCTGGGATTAGGGAAGCTTCTTAAAAATGTGTGAGGGGGCTGGAGAGATGGCTCAGAGGTTAAGAGCACCGACTGCTCTTCCAGATGACCTGGGTTCAATTCCTAGCACCCACATGACAGGTCACAACTGTCTATACTCCAGTTCCAGGGGACCATGATACCCATGGCAAAACACCAATGCACATAAATTAAAATAATTAAATAAAAATGCAAGTGAATATGTGTGTATGAGTGTGTGTATGTGTATATATACATATATAGGTTATATATATATATATATATATATAAATGTATGTGTGTGTATGGAGGTCAGAGGTTGATGCTGAGTGTCTTCCACTCTCTCTTCACCTTATCTTCTGAGACAAGGTCTCTCACTGAACCCAAAGCTCACAGATTAGCTACACTGATTGGCTAGCAAATTTCAGAGATCCACCTATCTCCACCCCCTAACCCCAACCCCCATGCTAGGGTCACAGAAGTGTGTGACTGTGCTTGGCTTCTCATGGGTGCTTTGAATCCAAAGTCAGGTTCTCACGTTCTCTGCTGCACATCCCCGGGCTGTCCCTCCAGTCCCCTTGAAGATCGTTTTGGTTTTGTTCTTTATTTTTTTTTCTCTTCTATTTTTATTTTGAAACAGAGTTTCACATTGTAGCCCTGGCTAGCCTGGAACTCTGTGTAAACCAGGCTGGCCTGGAACTCATGGAGATCCTCCTGCCTCTGCCTCCCTAGTACTGGGATTAAAGGTGTGTGCCATCACCCCCCCCCCCCGTAATTTTTTCCTTGTTCTTTGTTTTTGACACAGGCTCTCACTCTGTAGTCCAAACTGGAACCCACTTTGTAACCAGGCTGGCCTCAAACTCATGACAATCTTTCTGCCTCAGCCTCCTGAGTTCTGGATTGCAGGTAGAGCAGCCATGCCCAGCTCTATGTGAAACCCTTTGTCAACAGAACACTAGCAATTGACATTCAGCATAGGACTCCTCTGTGGTATCTCTCAGCCCCACAGGACAAGTCAGTTTCTAGAAATACAGAGGGAATGGCCATTCAAATTAAGTATGACAAAGTTCACCAAATTTAAGGGAAAACTTTGGGTTTCTGAGATCTTGGGGACTTTAGAACTGTAGGTGAAGATTGCAGAACTCTAGGAACAATTTCCTTCTGTGGCATGGTTAAGAGTCTCCAACTTAACACAGAGTTCCCAGCACATGCATGCCTTTAACTGAAACTCAGCTATCGAGCCTAGGCCACAGAGATTCATAGGTAAATGTTATTGTTGTTGTTTGCTTTGGGAGGTTTTATGGTTTTTTTGGTTGTTGTTGTTTTGTTTTGTTTTTGTTTTGGGGTGGTTTTTTTGTGTTCTGTTTTCATTTTTGTTTTTGAGACAGGATTTCTCTGTGTAACAGCCCTAGCTGTCCTGGAATTCATAGACCAGGCTGGCCTTGAACTCACAGAGATCCACCTGCCTCTTCCCCCCTACACACACCAGTGCTAGGATTAAAGGCATGCACCACCACCACCTGGCATTATAGGTTAATGTTCTAATAGTGGAGACAAATGTCCAGTCCAAGAAGTAGGGAAAGTATATTGTATATAAAATATATTGCATACTATATAATATACACATATAATAAAGTATATTGGTTAATAATTACCATTGGCTTAACTGGAACACACCTGGGGGCGTGTCTGTGAGGTTTCCAGGAAGGATTAATTGAAGAGAGAAGATCCGTGCTAAGTATAGGCGGCACCATCCCCTGTGCTAGGATCTGGGCTGAATAAAGGGAGAACGTGAGCCGAGTACCACCATCATCTCCTTGGGTTCCTGGAATGTGGCCTCACGCTCCAGTTGTCATACCTACCCCCCTTATGATGGACTGTACCCCCTCAAACCAGGAGTCAAAATAAGCCCTTCCTCCCTTGAGTTGTTTGTTGTTGGGCATTTCCACGGTAAGAAAAGTAACTAATACAGTAAGAAAAAGAAGGGGTATAATGTATGGGGACCAAGAAGGGGAGTGGGGGAACCCACCTTAAAAAGGGAGATTAGATGAGCCAGAGTACAGGCCTAGAATCCCAGCATTCAAGAGACCAAGGCAGGAGGTTTGGGAACAGCCTGGGCCAGTAGTAAGTGTGTGTGTGTAGGAGGTGGCACTTAGAGAAGGTGGGATATCTATTGTAAAGGATGAAGAGAGGCTGGCACTTGGGTTCCCATGAAAGGGAAACAGTGCCAAAGGGAGGATTCCCAGGGTACCCATGTGTAGGACAGGAGAAGACTGGAGGTCTCTGGGCCCTCAGAGAGATTGCATCTCATTCCGAGTCCTGAGAAGCCGTGGGTTTCCAGTGATGCAGCGGAGCAGGTGGGCAGGCCTCTCATCTGACGCTAGCTTAATTGCTGGCAGGCAGTTGTCAGTCTGAAGCCTCAGAGCTCTCTTCCTGTGGCTCTCACACAGGTCTCTTTGGGACCTGCGACTTTTCCTTCTTCTTCCCTGCTTAATTTTAAATGCTGCGACTTCAGCCTGTCCTTGTGACCTCAAGAGTCAGCTGTGCCCAGAAGGAGGCTTATGTGGGAAGCAAAGGCCGCCCAGGGCCAGGATTTGTGGCCAGTAAGGTTGTGACTGGCCTAACTGATGCCAACACACGTCAACACTCAAGCGTGCACACACACACAGACACACACACACAGCTCTAGCATTTCCAACAGAGGCAGCCTTCACAGGTACGGACCCTCAAGGAAAGTGTCCACAAGGGGGCAGTGTGGCCACAAAGGCTTGAGGACCAGAACCTCAGGCACCAATCTCATCTACTCCAGGCCTGAGCAACCTCTGATTAGACATCAGGCTGGTGTCTCTTCCCTGAAACCTCGGTCCTGAGACACTGGTTGCTGGATCATAAATACCTGTACATCCCGATGAACGCCT